GTCCTCCCCAAATTCAAACAGCCCAGGGGATGGGGGGGGGGGGGGACGACGAGGACAGACGGACAAGTGGGAGAGCCCCAGTGGCAAGCTTGGAACCTTTACAGTTCTGCAGACATCCGTGTCTGGAATCCGGAACAAAATTTGCCTGATCCTCAAGATGGGTGGCATCCTTTCAGGTTTCTAGTCCTTGTTATGGTTGGGGGGAGGAGCAGAGGTCTTAATGAGTTGGGCCGATTTTTTCCTCTTTTGGGGAGGGGTGTGTGTTTAGTATGAGATGGCCCCTGTGAACGTGGTAGCGCCGCTTCGGACCGTCCCTTAACCTTGCTGTTCTCCTTGCAGGCAATGTGCCTTAAGTGCTCTGAGAGACGTCAAGCTGTACTTATCTGAGGAAGGCGGCCAGATTGCGGTGAGTGGCTTGCTAAGATAAAGATGTGCACGGGGGGCGGTGGTGGGGGTGCGCGGAGTCATGCTTCGTTTCGAGACTGTGGCTGCCGCTTCCTTGTCGGAGCGTGTACACACAGCTGGGTGGGAGACGATGATAATGCCTTGTTGTCTACATACTAAGTCAGAGGCAGGGAAATGTGTAATCATCCTGCAAGCTTGAAGTTTTTGCTTGAATTCCACGGTCCCTCCGACACTGTGCGGAGTTTTCAAGCAAGAGTTTGCGTTCAGGATCTCACCACGGTGAAGGCACGATGCGGCTGTGCTTAGCGATCCTGAGAAGGTGTGCTTTTCCGAGGGTATCAGACTGAGGCCCACTAGTCCAGGGGTCCACAACATGGTGCCCAAGGGCGCCGTGGCAGCACCCAACACCTTTCCTGGCACCCAAGGCTCCCTCTAAGCTGTGGAGTCCTGTGAGCAAAATTTCTCCTGTGAGCTACCGGCATTGAAGTTGTGAGCGAGCGATCTGGCTGCTGCATCGGTTTGCTCTGGAGCCCGTCCCTTCCTGAGCGGAAACAAAAATGTGTGAGCCGGAGGCTAAAGAACTGTGAGCTAGCTCACACTAACTCAGCTTAGAGGGAACACTGGATGTGTTGCATTCTGGCAGGGGGCGCTGGGGGTGTAGGGATCCCAAGCCCCCCAGGGGGGCGGGGAACCCCCGCCCCAGAGGCCCGTATCCCGCCGCCGGTGGATTGGGCCCTGGGGGGAACCCCACCGCGACGTGCAAGTCACCCGGAAGTGACGTGATGATGCCGGGCACGCTGGGGGCGTGGCCACGGTCATCCGAGGGAAAACTCTAATGTTTTTCCCTCGGATGGTCGTGGCCCCGCCCCCAGCCTGCCCGGCGGCGTCACGTCACTTCCAAGGTGATGGGCGTGCGGCGCGCACGCAGTTTGTGCACACACGTTCTAGGCGCCGGACAGGAGTCCCCCGCTGGGGCTCGAAAATGACTTGGCAACCCTATTGCTACCACTTTCACCCGGCGAGCGATTTGGCTGCTGCATCAATCAGTTTGCTCTGGAGCCGTCCCTTCCTGAGTGAAAACAAAAATGTGAGCGAAAAAACTCAGCTGGCTCACGCAAACTCTGCTTAGAGGGAACACTGCTGCGTGGCACCCGCCAAGTGCTTTTAGAAAGTGGGCGACGGCTAGGTAGAGCTTTTGCTCAGCGGGGCTTCTGATTGGCTCTGCAGATCCTGCTAGGCAGAGCTTCTGAAATGTTGAAGAGATACTATTAGAGCTGTGTTCAATCTTGCTCCCCGACGTTTTGTGGTTTGGCCCCGCCTCCTGGCGGCCATTTTGTGATTGAGCCCAACTGCCCAGCCTCAGAATTCCAAAACCTGCCTTGCAGGCTGGAAATGTCATGGACCCCCTGTAGGGGTCTCAGTTATTTTTATTTTTGACATAACCAACAGGCGGACGTTTGATCCTCAGAGAAAGCCAACATTCTTTCACTTTCAGTGGATTGCAGTCTATTGAACGCTACTCTTGATGTATTCAATTTGGAATCTGATCTGCTCTTTTGCAAGGCTTGTACAATCTGGGAAAGCAAGTTTTGTGCTTGCTTCTGAACTGTTTCGAAGAAGTACACACCTTGCTTCAGTGTGTATAAATGAAGCTTTTGAATAATTAGCTGGTCTGGCTAAGTAACGAAAACACACTGGGCACACGGTTGACTCAGAAATTGGTGAGACCTGGACTCTTCTTAACTTTGGCAGTTCCGTTCTCATCCATTGCTGAATTAAATGTTTAAAACACTGCTGGTTTTGGCTTAGAGATTGCAGATGATTGGATCAGGGACCCGTTAAAACCCTTTCCCAGAACATTTGCTGAAGACGAAGCTTTTTCGTTTTCCTTTTTTGGAAATCTTGCACTGGTGTTTTGTTTGGGCTGCTTTTTGCTTACTGAGACTTTTTTTGGCACGCATTCTGTTTTTAGCCAATTTTTTTTTGGGGGGGTGGTTATTAAGTGCCGTCAAATTGCTAATGAAGTATGACAACCCTCTGAATGGATGTCCTCCAAAACATCTTGTCGTTAACGGCCTTGCTTAGGTCTTGCAAACGAAAGGCCGCGGCTTCCTGTTTGAGTCCATCCATCTCAGGTTGGGTCTTCCTCTTCTGCTGCCTTCAACTTCTGACATGAATCTCTTTTCCAGTGAATCTGGTCTTCTCACAATAAGATCAAAGCACAATAGCCTCAGTCTGCTCATTTTAGCTTCTAGGGAGAGGACAGACAGTCGGCTTCTACCAAGCTTGTATAACGAACAAGTTTTGCGCATCTCAGAGCTGAAGCCGAAACTGAAGAGAAGCAAATCGACCCATTCAAGGAAACATGTCTAAATGCTGAGTCTGTGGGGAGAGGGCCTGCTCATCCACCCTGGAAAGCAAATACTTGACTTGGTGGATCTGATTTCAAAGCAAGGATGGGACCAGTGTTCTCTCTAAGCTGAGTCAGTGTGAGTTAGCTCACAGTTTTTTTTAGCCTCCAGCTCACACATTTTTGCCTTGGTTCAGGAAGGAGGGATCCAGAGAGCAAGCTGATTGACGCAGCAGCCCAATCGCTCGCTCACAGCTTTAATGCCAGCAGCTCACAAAGTAGAATTTTTGCTCGTAAGGCTCCTCAGCTTAGAGGGAGCTCTGCATGGGACATGCATCTCACATGGGAAGTGGCAAAAATTCTTGTTTCTTGCGTGTCGCCCTGCAAAAAAATGTATGCAAGAACCACACATAACATGGATCTGCTTTGTGGTGTTTTGTGTACCC